CCATACAACATGGCTTTTTAGAAGATCAAAAACTTCGTAATTTGTATTTATCTTCCAATAAAGATGGAATTTTAAATTTAATTTTGTGTGGGAATTTATTCTTGAGGATTATCCTTTGAAATAATTATTAATTTTTTATTATCCCAAAATAACCTAAACGCCAAAACTCTTCCACGCGCCTGACAATTATCAAAAGTTGTTCCCTAGAAACCCTTCATATTTCCTTCCAAACCACCCCATCATGACACGTGTCCCTATAGCCCTGCACCATCGTGATCGTGAGCAGACTTTATGGTTCACGATCACACATCAATCCAACTTTTCCCCAAACGTCTCCCACCATGATTACCCCACCAATTTTCTAAAAAAATATTTTTTTAATCAACCTTTCCTCTCCCTTTCACTATAAAAAGCCATCATCCCCAACCTCTCACCCTTTACGCTCACAAAAAGCTTTCAAGAACTCAAATAGCAAGAACAAACCTGCAACTCCCAACCTGCAAAAAATGGTGTCCTCCGCCTCTCATGAGTCCAACAGCAACGACAGCCATGTTCAATCCACCGGCGCCGACAGCCGCACAATCGTATTTCTCCCCATCAAGCCTAACAACCACGCAATCGACCTTCGCCCACAACTGTTCAAAGATAAGTTTGCCATTTTGATCGAGTTTTTCCAAAACAGTATTCTCTAACCGACGCTCACCCTCTATGACAACGAGGTGCCTGTAAAGTATGTCCAACAGTACTAGCAGACCTGCGACTTCTACCCGGAGAACCGCGGGATCATGGGTGACACCGATGTCCCCAACGACATGGTGTGCTCCATCAAGATCTTCCGCGCTAAAATATCAAAGGTACCATTCATCCCCACTCGACAAGAGCTCGGGATTGCCAACTACGTCGAACCGCCGACTAGCCACGACATTCTACGCTTTATTAGAATGTTGGGCTACAACAAGGATCTCTGCAATGCCTCCGACTTCAAGAGGCAGTTTCTTCCACCCATGTGGAATGTCTTCTTCTCCGTCCTCAACCGAGCCCTCACATGTAAGTTAGGGAGCATGGACCAGGACAATATCAACATCATGTATGGTCTCTTCTTCAATCTGCCCTTGGACTACGCTCTTCTTATCTACAACGAGATACATGCTCCTATGGTGAAGAAAAATAAACTCATGGCCGCTGGAAAAACAGTTACATTGGTGCTCTTCCCGCGTTTCCTTGCACTCATCAATAGTGATGCGATGATGATGCATAATATCCGAGCGATGCACCATTCACTCCCCAATTTCTCATGAATGGTCATCGTCCAACCATCTCCAAGGATGGTTACCCTGCAGAGAGGCCCTTATCAAGGGCCATGCTTAGTGTCATTCTTGACACCTCTGCCTGCCGTATGACCTACGAGAGCTCTCTACTGGCTGAACAACCGAGGCCAGTTACCCCAGAGCACATAAAGCCCTCCCGTGACACAAGCGAGGGATATCAAGAGGAGCCGTCTTCATCAAATGATGAAGATGATGATGATGACAATCCTCCCACCTCCCTCGGCCCTATAAACACTTCAATTCCATCACCCCCACCCCGGGCAACCACATCTGCTACCCCTGGCGACCAAGGCCAAAGGGGTATTATTGAACAAGGACCACCCAGTCCAATCCCAACCCAACCAAGCCATCCAGAGGCCATTCTCTGGGATTCTAGAGATGAGACAGTCGAGGTACCCTACCATCCATCACCTCTCTCCCAATAGGGGGTGATGAAGACATAAGAGCCACTTCTCCTCATGGCTCGCCACTTCCCTCACACACGAAACCATGTGTTGCTTCTGACTTTGCTGAACCCATCAATCGTTCAAGCGGTCGCCTCTTCAAGCACAAACCCCGTCAATACTTGGTTTAGCGACAGGTACACACATTTACTTCCCTTCATTGGACTCTAAATACGATGAGGAAGAGGTACATGTCGCAACATCACGAGATAGTTCCTCACTTGAGGTCTATCAAGGACGTGATGGAAGTCCTCCCATGACTCACTCCCCACAAGGCATCGATGGAGGTGCCTCTGGATCTGAGGCCCAACCTACAGCATCAGTTGTTGTAGGGTTTACCCCACTTGCAGACTTGGTCACAAAGGCTGAGTTACAAGCCTTTGCTGACTCAATTCAACGGTCCTTTGATGACCTTAAACCCAACTTGGCGAGGGTTGCTGAATCCATCCCTATAATCGACCTTTCATCGATTCAGCAATCACTTGCGTCCCTCGAAGCTCAATCGAATGACAACACCACTAGACTTCAAATTTTCTAACAACTCATGGTCCAGCAGCACAACCACCTCACCAACATCTCCACCACCAGAAACGAATCCATCACTGCCACCCTAGCCGCCCTCTAGGCCTAAATCATATTGACCGATGAATCCATCGCCACCCTTACCACCCAAGTAAACAGCATAGCCAACTCCATCACCACCCTACCCACCACCATCATTGTCAATTTACCACAAAAATCCCCTCCTCTACCCCCCCTACAACACCCTCATCCGATGAAGCCTTTAATGCCTTTGCTGTAGAGGTACACACCATGATATCTTCCATCACCATACCTCCACCCACCTCAACCTCCAGCTCCACTTCTACATATGTGGTCACCAAGCTGACCTCCACGCTCTCTCTAAGGCATTAATCTCAAGTTTTAATGAGATAGGTGCCAAATTCACCTCCAGAGCTGTGGAGCCCACCAAAGCCCTCACCAAGAGCCTTGATAAACAACAGAAACGCACCAACTCACTCCTCCTAACAATGGAGGAAACACAAAGAAGAAGGGCACTAAGGAAGTATCTTGCTTCCTTCAGATCAGAGAAGAGGAGTCACGCCTCTTGCTCATCCAGCCGCCCCCTCAAGAGACAGAGGCATGAAAACCTAGACCAGGATGACCATGGTCATGATCCTCATGAGGGGGAGAACCCGACCAGCGCACCACTGGAGACTGCAGCACCACCACCACCACATGATCAACCAACCAACCAGCCAACCCAAGGAACCGAAGCGAGGGAACCAAAGGCTCAGCCCTTTGATGATGTACATAATTTACATATTCCCTCTGCTTGCACCCAAAAACCACTACCCACAACCAATGAGTTCTCACCAATCTTGGTGAATTTTGCATCCTTTGACCATCCACCATCTCCCCAACCAGAAACAACCTTACCCTTTACCTCATTAACAATACCACCTCCATCACCTACCCAACCAGAACCCACCACTCAACTAGAACCCTTCATCACCCAACCAGAACGCTCCATCACTCAAGTAGAAACCTCACCCCAGCCAGAAGCCTCACACCAACCAGAACCCTCTACCATACAACCAGAACCCTCTACCATACAACCAGAACCTATCCTTTCCCAAACACAACCCATCACCCAAATAGAACCACCCATCACCCAAACAGAACCATCCATCACCCAACCACAACCATCCATCACCCACGGAAATCAAGATATTTTGCACAGAAATTCTGGAAATCTGAAAATTTTCGGACTGTTCTTGGTGTTCATCATTGTGTTCTTGAGATATTATTGATCATATTCTTTTTTTCATCAAAATTCACATTATTGTTGTTGTTTGATTGATGAATTGTTGATAATATTGTGCGTATTGATGTTTTGAATCTTTATATTTAAACAATTGTAGAGTTTGATCGATTTATTGTCAAGTTTTGAAGGATTTTTGATGTTTTGAGAAGTTTCTATCCATAAAAGAAATTCATAAAATTTAAGGTATTGATCCATTATTGGGTGAATTTTTAGGAAAATTTGCGTTTTTCTTCATCGTCCAATGAAGAAATTCATTGTGCGAATACGGTGGTTAAATTTTGCTTTGTGTCCTATTAAGTGATATCCAAATAATTGTATTTATTTGTTTGTTATTTGTATCCGGTTATTGAATTTATGCTTGTTAGACCCCATCTTGTAAAAGTGTAGGTAAGAAGTCTCTTACTCTAGTCTTTAGGACTTAGTCTTTTGAAGCGGTCTGGACCAAGAGCTCTTAAGCAGAAGACATCAAGAGACAGAGCTCTTACTCAAGAGCTAAGTGTCTCATATACAGAGCCCATGCTCTACTCCAGGGAAGATCAAGACTTAAGAGCCAAAAAGGCTAAGTGCTTGATGCAGAGCATCACCTCAAGACACAGAGCCTCTGCATAGTAATGCAGAGACTCTGAGTCTCCTACTCCCGTGGATTGCGCGCATGGTTCAGACTTTCCCACAAGACTTCTAACAGATTCTAGAATGTTTGACTCAGTCCGCTCCACTTTCCAAGGAACGTGAACGATAAGAATGCCGAACAAGAACTCAGAGTTCCAAGCCAAGATTCTAGGAAATTCTATTATAGCTTAGTCGTATATAAGGAGGTATCCTCCTTAGGTTACAAGTTACTTGAAAGTGGCAAGTTAGACTACGCTCTAGAATAGAGATTTCTTGTGAGAATACAATTAGAGTGAGAGTTTTATCGTTATTACGTCTCTTTTAAAAATAGCTTCCGACTTATTCAAGTCTGTTTTGCATTCATAATTTTATCTTGAATATTTTGTTAAACCACTTCAGTTACAAAGTTACCATTCTACTCATACTCTGATTTTATTGTGTTTTTTGTAATTATGAGGAATCTGGGTTCCAACAATTGGTATCGGAGCTTACTAATCAAATCAATTGATTAGTCGATATATAACCAACAAAGATATTCCTCTTGATTTGGTTATTCATTTTTAAAACGCATTTCATTCTGATCTCAGATCAATCTTGTTTAAAAATGTTTGCTTTATGTATTCTCCAAAACTTTCAGATTCAGAAACTCGACGTTTTCACTTTCTTATTAAACTTTCTTACAAAACTTCATGGAAATGTCTAATCAATCATGGAACTCGATGTATAGTGTTGGTTCCGTTACAAAACCTCTTACTCTCCTTCGGGAGCAATATTCAGGGAATGGAAGATTAGATGATAAACTTCTATGAAGGTCTTGACCTTGAATGTTATGAGTCGATTTTAAATGGTCCATATGTACCCATAACTCTAATTCCAAGGAATCCTGCTGCTGGTGATACGGTTGAAGTTCCTGCAAGGCACGTTCCCAAGCTCCGGATAGATTGGGACGATGAAGATAGGAGACTGGTGGAAGTTGACCAAAAGGCCAAAAGGCTTTTAATCATGGCTCTTCCAAACGAGATTTTCCAATCTCTCGACGCATGTGAATTCGCCAAGGATCTATGGGATCAATTGGCTAATCATCTTGAAGGAGGGATAAAGATGAAGAAGAACAGACGTGCTCAATGTCTTAATGAGTACAACCGCTTTCAAGCTCTCCCTGATGAGTCTCTCGAGCAGACTTATCACCGCTTCAACACTCTAATCAACAAGTGTAGAAAGTGCAACGTGACTAGGACTCAAGAAGAGAATAACATGCTCTTTTTGAAAAGGTTGCATGGAGAATTGGAAAACTTGTCAATATCCTTTCAGGAGAATCAGGACCTGGAATAGTGGAGTCTTCATGATGTCTACGGCACCCAGCAAGCACAGGAATAAGAGGTGTAGAAGACCAAGGTCGCTCTGGGTGGACCTCTGGCTCTAGTCTCTGACTCCAAAGAGATTAGGTCTAGTCAGCCACTCATAGAACGAAGATCAAAATACGATAGAAGAAGAGGGAAAAAGGCTCTAGTAGTAGAGAGCGGCAATGAAGACAAAGCATCAAGCTCTGAAGATGACAACGTAAGTGCTTTCGCACAATCCTTGGCTCTCATCACCAAGGAATTTTAGAGGAAGTTTGGGAAGAAGATTTTTGATAAAAGAGGAAGTAGACATGATAGGGAAAGAAACATAGGATTTGAAGCAAATAACCCTCCCTCTCAACTAAACAAGAAGGAGGAAGAACAGTCAGATCAGAAGAAGCCTGCTGTAAGATGCTTCAGATGTGGAAGAATGGGTCACTACTCCAAGGAGTGCAAAGGCCCTCTTGTAAATGATGAACTGTACTACAAAAATAAGTAGAAGTATAATCGACCCCAGTGGAGCCTCATGGTCGAGCAAGAAAACTGGGTCTTTAACTCTACATCTGAACAGGAAGACCAAGCTCACTTCTGTGGCATGGCTGTTGAGAATGAAGCAGAAGAGTCTGGATCTGGCTCCGACTATCAAGTATGTTCTACCTCTGGTTATTCCTATTCTGATATGGAAGAAAGTATCTCTGTTTTAACCCAAGATTTTATAAAAGAACAGCAAAAACTCTCTGTTGAAAAAGCAAAAAGAAAATCTTTAGAAAAAGAAAAGTCTTTGTTGAACGAGAAACAGAGTTGTAATATGTAGAAAAGCAAGAGCTTTTTGTGGAGAAAGAAAGAATTTTAAAAATAAAACTTTCCACAGAAAATAGTCTTAAAATAGAGTGCTTGGAGCTAAAAATGGCTATACAGAAAAAAGATAAAGAACTTTTAGAGAAGGAGCGTGATATGTTAAATTCTCAAGCCTTGAAAAACTGTTTTAAAAAAAAATTCTTACACCAGAGCTTGCAAAGAAAAGAGCTCTTGATTAAAAAGTATTAAGATGCTCAGCAGGTGTATTTAAGGATAAATTCTCAACAGGATAAAGCAGGGATAGGTTATACAGACCTAGACCTCACCTGGAAGAATAAATCTACTCTTAAATATGTGTTTCGGTTAGGGGCAGAGCAAAAACCCAATTTTCCAGCTTTGCCTAATAACTCGCCTTTTAAAAGATGTAAACTTGAACATGGGGCAAGAACTCGAAAACTTAAATCTGAAAATGTTTCTTACTCTTCAAAAGGTATGCAACCAGTTGATTTAAACATTATACAGAAGACAAAATGAACTTTTTGTTTTCGCACTCATAATCCTGAGCATCTGAAATCAAATGGTGATGAAGTCAAACCTAAACCAGAAGAAACTAGTAGTTCATCGAAAGATGATTTTGTTAAAACTCTGGATCCAAATTTGATGGATGAATTTTTACAGAAAAAGTAAGACAAGACTTTGAGCAAGATCTGCTTGAGGTCTTGAAACACCCCTCTGTATCTCATGCAGATAATTCTGAGAGTAATTCCTCGGATATTTTTGGAAGTTCCTCTTCAATGTAACAGAAGGATGAAGGCACTAGTGCATATTTACGAGAATCTCAAACTCTCAATGATACTTCTGCAACTCAACATCCACACAAGGATTTTCTTAAATCTGACTCCAAATCAGAGGTTGACTCGAGTAAAGAGCAAATTGAGACAGAGATAGTAGAACCAGGACCAGAGGTTGTTAAACTTCCAAGTGGGATATCAAATAAATCTATTCCAGTAATGGAGCAGAGGAAAAATGTTCCCATATGTCCTAATTTCGTGGACATGTGCTTAAAAGCCAAGTCTTCTCTAGAGCATGAGAAGGAAAACAAGGCTAGAAAATCTAAGCCTTTCATCTCTGCATCGAAAGTTTCTAAACCCAATTTTTTTAAAGCCAATTAAGTTCACTCTAAACCATAAAGGAAAATACACTGCTAATTCTAATTTAAATTCCTCTGTTTCAGAGAGGCCTCTGAAGGCTAGAGGAGTAAGAGGAGAGAAAGGAAGGCCAGAAAAGAGAAAGGCCACATTTTATAAACGATCAAAACTAGATAGGAAGTTCACTCGAACTAACAATGCTAGGAATGATTGTAATAATTTCTGTTATGAATCCAATAAATCGTTTTGTCATCAAAATTGTGTTTATACTTGCAAATGTCTTTCTCTGCTGTAAAAATTAAAGCAGGACCTTTCAAATCCCAACTGTATTCTTTTTGGGTCATCGAAGAATAATTTCAAGACGACCCATAAGAAGCAAACTCCTAAGGCCAAATCTGGCAAACCAGATCATATGTTTGGAAAATCAGGTGTTCAGACAGATCCTCTCCCTAAACCTGCTGTTAAATCTCCAAGGCCTAATCATCGAGGACCCATCACGAAATGGGTACCTAAATCCCTATAATTTGTTTTGTAGAAGCCGCATGTGGACATTTGGTATCTTGACTCTGGGTGCTCAAGACATATAACTGGCAACAAGAGGTTACTCTCCTCATACATAGAGAAAATTGGAGGACGAGTAACTTTCGGGGATGATATGCAAGGAGAAATCAAAGGCTATGGAGATCTTCACCAAGGTAAGGTTTATGTCTATAAAGTTGCTTATGTTTTTGGGCTTAAACATAACCTTTTGAGCATAAGTCAACTTCGTAATTCTGGCTATAATGTCAAGTTTCAAAAGGAGTCTTGTTCAATACTGTCATAATCAAGTCAAGAGTTGCTAAGAGCCAAACGTAAGGGTAATCTATACTTTATGAACTTCTTACCAAGAGATAATTTAAAGACTTTGTCTCGTATCTCGTAAATGTGAAGAGGCATGGCTAGGGAACCACAATCTTTCTCACTAAAATTTTCAAAATATAGAGAGGCTTGTGAAAAACAATCTGGTTGACGGATTACCAGCAACAAAGTTCAAAAAGGACCATCTTTGTCCTACCTGTGAAATGGGAAAACTTAAAAGGGCATCCCATAAGGCAAAGACAGATGCGCCTTGTGTTAGACCTCTGCATATGCTTCATGTGGACCTCTATGGTCCAATCTTTGTGCATAGTTTGTCTAGCAAGAAGTATATCCTTGTGCTTATTGATGAATTTACAAGATATACTTGGATTGAGTTTGTAAGGCAGAAGTCAGATGTCCCAGAGCTGCTGATAAAGCTAATGATCAAGATTTTAGTCCTACTACATAGCAAAATTCAAAATCAAAGAAGTGACAATGTACTTAGTTTAAGAACGCAAAAATCGATGCATACCTTGACAAAGAGGGCATATCTCAGAACTTCTCTGCTGCAAGAACACCACAACAAAATGATGTAGTAGAAAGGAAGAATCGAACATTAGTTGAAGCTACAAGAACAATGCTTGCAGACTCTGGTCTTCCAACCCATTTTTGGGCAGAAGCTATCTCAACTGCATGCTTTATCCAAAATAGAGCAACTATGGTTAAGAGACACGTGAAGATTCCTTATGAACTCATTAACCAGAGAAAGCCTAATGTTAAATTTTTGCATATCTTTGGTTGCAGATGCTTCATTTTAAACGACCTTGATCACCTTGGTAAGTTTGATAAGAAGGTCGATGAAGGCAAATTTCTTGGATACTCCACACATGTCAAGGCCTACAGAGTCCTCAATCTATGAACCAAGACAGTCATGGAAAGCATCAACGTCTCATTCAATGATAAAGAACTCATGACTTCAGAGTACCTCAACTCTGGACTCGATCTTAACTCGACGACTTCCAATTCTCTATCGAAGTCAAGGGAATTGGAACTCAGGCAATTATTTGAAGACTTCTTTGGTGATGAGGACATATCTGCATGTGTACCCAGAGATGACTCTGCACGTGTTCACGAAGAGCCACAAACTACAAAAACATCTATCTCTGGCCCTTCTAACACTTCTGCTTCCTCTGGTGATCAAGCTAATCCACAACCACAACCCTCCAGCTCTGGATCAGAGCCTAGTCCCTTAGAGCTAGAGAACAATACCTCTGTCTCTGAACCTGGTTCCTTTGTACCATCATCTGATGGGGAGCAAGCAGAGCCTTCATCACCTTCTATGAGCCAAATGCCACACATACCAGCGGAGCAAGATCCAATGACTCCAACGTCTGTTCCAACTCAAATGACAAGGTGGATAAAAGATCATCCTCTTCATCAAATTATTGGTGAACCTTCAAGTGGTGTAAAGACAAGAGCTGCCACAGCAAATGAATGTTTATTCATAAACTTTCTAAGCATGGTAGAGCCCAAGAAAGTTCATGAAGCCCTACAAGATCCTAGTTGGGTCGATGTCATGCAAGAAGAGCTCCAACAGTTCGAAAGAAACAAGGTATGGACTCTTGTTCCCTACCAAAGGATGAAATTGTAATTGGTTGTAAGTGGGTTTTCAGGAACAAGGACGATGAGAATGGCATAGTAGTCAGAAACGAAGCCAGACTCGTTGTAAAATGCTACTGCCAGGAAGAAGGCATAGACTATGATGAGACCTTTGCTCTAGTTGCAAGGCTAGAAGCTATACGCTTATTCCTAGCCTTCTCTGCACATAAAGGATTCTGAGTCTATCAAATGGACGTTAAGTCGGCCTTTCTAAATGGTAAGCTAAATGAGGAAGTCTACGTACAACAACCTCCAGGGTTTGAAAGTTCCAGACACCCAGAGTATGTCTACTATTTAGATAAAGCTATGTATGGAATCAAACAAGCTCCACAAGCCTGGTATGAACGTTTTTCATCTTTCCTTTTATCAAATGGTTTCGAAAAAGGTAAAATCGATACTACTTTGTTTATTAAGAGGCATAAAGGTGAGATACTTCTAGTCCATATATATGTGGACGACATTATATTTGGTTCAACAAACCAGAGGCACTGTGATAAGTTCTCTGCTCTAATGAAGAGTGAGTTTGAAATGAGCATGTTGGGAGAATTAA